ATTCTCCAATCTCGAATTGAACTAGAACCCGTTTCTTCACTAATAATCCACCATCATTGTTCACCCAATTGATCTTATAAGGTTTAGGATGATCTTGTTGTTCCAACCCTAATGTGTCAACCATCTCTTTAGAATCAATGTTAGTGCATGATCCTCCATCAATTATAAGAGAACAACTCCTTCCCTTCACCATACAATGTGATTGGAATAAATTTTCCCTTTGTTCTCTATGCTTCTCTTGAGTTGGCGTAACATATAAAACGAACCTAATCACCAACACATTATCATCACTTGCTGCTTCATCTAATGGACCCTCAAACTCAACTTGATTTGTTATTTCCTCCTCTTCTTCCACCATGACTAACAAAAAAGCATGTTGTGCTTCAAGACTAACTAGAGCTTTGCTAGGGCATTGTGCAGCAATATGACCTCCACCCTTACACTTGAAACAAACCTTATCTTTCATAACCATTTGACTAGGAAGCAAAGGGTTTTGATTTTTCACTTTGAAAAGAAGAAAACATGGATGAACTCTTTTGTGTGTCTAACCCTTCTTGAGTTCAAATTAAATCTGGTTTAGGAACATACAGCTGGCGGACTACTTTCCCCTTTTGTTCTTGAAATTGTCGCTCTATGGTACTTGCTAACATTATTGTAATACCCCGTATTTTTATACGTATTTTAATTTAAATATCTATTTCTTAAAGTATTTAAATAAGTTGTAATGAAATATTTATGATGTTTTATTAATTTAAAGAGTTTTATTTTTAATTAAAGGTCCAATCTATTTATTTAATAATTTTGGAAATACTTTATTTTAAAAACATTGGGGCATATTATTTTATAAAAGGAAGCCAATGGTATTTAAGGAAAGTCAAAATACTAGTTTGAATAGGAAAGGGATCATTAAGGTTATGAAGGGAATTTAAGCTTAGGAGGGTTTTTAGAGAGAGTGTATAAATACCCATCACATGGGCAAATTGAACTTTGCCCAAGGTGGAGAATACCCAAAGGTAACTCTCTTTCTCTCCTCTTATTTTCTCTTTCTCTCTCTTATTTTCCCCTTCCCCTTATATTACACCACACACGCACACCACCACCACCACCACCGGTGGCCGGCTGCCACCACCACCACAGCCGACCGTCAGCAGCACAGAGTGGCGGCAGCAGCAGCCGCGGGGAGGTGGCGCCGGCCACTCTCCCCTCTTCTTCCCTCTTTTTCGTGTGTATATAAAACAAAAATTTATTCATTTGTTTTAATCCTAATCTAGCCTTGATTTAATTATTGATTTTGGGTTGTGTGATGATTTTTATGATGTTTGATCATAAGTATTATATATATAATTTTCAGATTAAGGTTTTGATTTTAAAAGCCCCAAATTGAAAACCCTAGGTTTCTATATTAATGTATATTGATGGAATTTGATTATAGGTGATTGAAACTATTAAACTTGATGTTTTAAAACACAATTACAAAAATTTTGAATGTTTTAATAAAGCTTTAATTTTTGTATATAAGCTATAATTAAGTTTCTTGAAAGGATTTTTAATTACCCATTAATTGGGAATAAAAGTAAGGGTTTAAAATTAAATTTCAGCTTGTTTTAGAAGGATTTATGAGTGATTTAAGGAGTGTATATATTGCTGAAAATTTGTGTGGAATAGGTATTAATGCCTCTTTGTAATTTTGGGTTGTAAGAGATTTCCAAGTGAGTGACTTTATTTAGTCGTGGCGATTTTGTGATCATATTCAAGGTACGTTCGTGTACTTGGTAATTATTTGAGTATGTAGAAGCATGCTAGGCTTTGATTAATTAATTCCAATATAGTATCATGATAAGTATTGATTAGAATTGTTGATTGGATGGATGTTGGTGATTGAATTGTGAAGTATGGATTATTTGTGGTGAATTGATGATGAGAATTAATTATATTGGCATGTTAAGTATGAACCACACTTTTATTATTGGCATGATTGAGAACATGTTTAATTAAACTAAGTGTTTAATTTGGTTTGGAATATTGAAAAGGAATTTTATTTTATTTCATATATTTTTTATAGATGCTATAAGCATGAGAAATGAGCTATTTAAGTGTCTATGTACACGAGGATTAAATTGTATTTTGGTGCCTAAGTTCACTTAAGGTGTTTCTAACACTGAGGGATAGGATTTGTGGCATGTTATGCGTTTAAGGTGTCTTTGACACTGAGGTAGATTAAAAAGGGTTCAACATTTGAAGATTTCGTGGTTACTAATTATTCAAGAATTAAATTGGTATGTTTGATTGCTTGAATGATATTAATGATTGATTTTTTTATGGTTTGTGAGTCATCACCAAGTCTAATAATATGTAAACAACGTAAAGTGAAAGAGATTACGCACCAAAACTCTAGGAACGTATATACCTTGAGTATGACATATGAGGGGAGTTATGCGACTTTATATTTGACCAGAACTTCTACTGGGAGTACAGGACGCTAGCTGTATATTCCTTTTTATTATGCGCAGAATTCCGCCACTTACGAGTGGTTCTTTTATACTGGCACGGTTAGCTCCCGTGTTAGTACCCCTTTATTGGGGCAGGTTAGGGAGAAACCCATTCGATGCGTAATCAAGCTAAATAATTAAATTAGTTATTTATTGAGTGGTTGTGTTGTATGTTGTATGCTTGTAAACAGGTGCAACAAGGTAAGTTGTGTGATGATAGGATGAAAGCATGTTAGTGTGGTTTAGTTACGCTAATGTACTCAGCATTGCTGATTGTGTGTTTGTATGTTTGTTTGGCCTTGTCTTTATCTTGGCCCTACGATGACCTATTCCTAATGGCGAGTAGTGGGGACAAGTAAAGAGGAGCTTTTCAGGTGATGAAGCATATTCATGATGGGCATGAGAGAAGAGCGAATCATGCTTAGTTTCCATAAGAATATGATGTGTTTTAAATGCTTTGAATATTATTTATTTCATTGTGCTTGTGAGACTAACGCAAAGGTTTCCAGTATGGTTTGGTTTTAATAAGGGCCTACAATGGTTCCAAGTTGTAGGTTGACTTCGTTTGACTTTGGTTTGACTTTACTTTCGTTTGGTTTTGACCTTTAAGTTGACTTGCTTTGAATGGTTTTAAAGATAGTCTTCCGCTTTGTGTCTTTGATAATTGCCTTAGTCATTTTTACGGTGGCGGTAATATCTTAGATTTTCCTATTTCGTATTTTAAAAAGGGCAAAACAGGTATTTTAAAGGGAAGGAATTTCTAGGGTGTTACACATACATACATCATCAAAGATCTCGAATTGTTGCACCTCAACATCATATGCAATAGATTTGCTTAAACCTAACAAAAACTTAGCAATCTTTTGTTCTTCCTCTTCTTTACAACCACAAGCTAGATATAATTTCTCAAACTCGGCAACATATTGATCAATAGATAATTGATTTTGTTGTAAAGAATTTAATTTTAAGAACAACATTTGCTTGTAAGATTTAGGAACAAAACTTTTTCTCATCTTAGATTATAATGTTGTCCAAGTTGAAACCTTTTCTTTTCCATCTTTAACCCTTTGAACTTGCATGTTTTCGTACCAATCTGAAGCATAATTTGACAGCTTTAAAATTGCATGAGAAAATCTTGAAGTTTCAATCATACCTTTATGCTCAAAGAAACGATCCATGCGCTTCTCCTAATTAAGATATACTTCGGGGTCATTTGTACCATCAAATTCAGGGAGATCTGACAGTTTGACTTCTCCTTTCTTTGGATTAATCAAAAGAGAGTGAGACACTTCACCAACACTTTAATCTTTCATATCTTTCACATCTTGTTGCAGATTTTGAAGTACTTCAACAAAAGAATTAGTTTGAGCATGTGTTGCGGCTTGACTTTCTTCAGTTTTGTCAATACGTGTATTGAGTTTCTTGAATTCTTCCAATAACGTATCAAACTCACTTTGATTCACCATGTTGCTCTGGATTCGTTTCACAATGAAAATTCACAAAATTTTACAGGATAAAAATTTAGGATTTTACGAGTCCAACCCAAAAAGAATCACGCAAAAACTCTAACTAGAACGCTCACAATCATTAGAAAGATTTACTCGTGTAGGCAGAGAAAATTTCAAGTCTGCTGAAACCTTTGCACCAAAGTTCAGGGCAGTAGAGAACGCGTTTCTCTACAAAAAAATTCTGAAATATTAGGGGATGAAAATTCAATGTTTTTAGAGTCCAATGCAAAAAGAATCATTGAAAAATATTAATTAGATCAGGGGCGGATCTACTATGCACTTAGGGTAGACACTTGCACACCCCTGGCAAGATATATAAGACTATTTAATGCAAATAGGATGCTATTTTATAAGTTTAGTGTACTGGCGCTGGCTGGAAATGCAGGATAGCAAACAAGTCTTGATGGTTTTGTGTTCGAAACCTCTTGTTAAAAGTAAACCCTTTATTTTGATTTTCTCCTCTATTTGGCCTTATTCACTTATTGCCATATGTATTTATTGGAGGTGAAAGGAAAACAAAGCAAAGGTAACAATGAAAAACCATTGCCTAATATTAAAAAAGCGTTGCCTTGTAGCTAAGGCAACATATATGAGGCGTAGTTTATGCCCCCGTTGTCTATTCATAAGACAACATTTTTTAGTTCAAAGGCAACATTTTTAAAAGCCAAGGTATAATGATACCTAAGGCAACAATTTTACAAAGGAAACAAATTAAAAGTGTTGCCACCTTAGGAGACAATTTAAAATTGTAACCTTATGTCATAATATACAACTACCTTTTCACTTGTTGTATTTGTTAGTAATAATAAAAAAGTGATGCCAAATATCTTAAAAGCAACACCTTAAAAGCGATTATATGTGAAATTATAAATTGAATGAATAAAGATGAATCAACATGTGAACTCGACAATAGACAATAATCAATCTAATAGGAAACAGGACATCAATATAGAAGAAAATTGATTTTATAAAAATAAAAAAAAATCATGTGTACTCATCAAAATCCAAAAAACAAAATCCAATAGAATTTCACTACACAATATATCTATTCTTAAAAATCCTAATAAATAACTTATGATTCACGATCTAGTACATTTCTAATACCAGTAATTGTGTAACTTTTTATATCTGATATTGTACATAAGGGATAAAATGCAACGTTTAAAGAGGGAAATGGGTCAAATGACTATAAACAATCTCAAGTGCTAATTGATCAACTCTTCGTCTTTGTCTTGAATATATATCTTCACTAGGCAAAAATTGTAAATTAGCACTGGTTCAAAACCCCCCTTTCGCACCGGTTATGAACTGGTGTAGATTTGAGGGATGCCAAAAAAAACATTAGCACTAGTTCAAAACCGGTGCTAATAATAAACAATTCGCACCGATTCGGTTCAAACAGGTGCGAATAAGATCCCAAAAAAATAAAAAAAAAAAGGTTTTTTTTGGCATCGGTTAACCGGTGCCCTTAATGCCCCAGAAAAAAAAAATCAAAAAATTTATGAAACCCAGTTCGCCGCGCCCGCGGGTCAAACTGTCGCGCCTGTCCAGGAACTCGAGGGAGAATTAAAACCCTGTCCGCGCCCTCTCCTCTTGCTGCCGCACCCGCGGGTCCTTGGAGAGGGCTCTCCTTAAGCGCGGGCTGCACTTTAAGCCTTTGAGATCTAAATTTCGAGGATGACACCAAGATGCTACACTATGGCAAGATATCTTTGGAACTGGTTTTATCCCCGCATCTCCTGAAGAAAAGGAAGAAAAAAGCTAAGACATCATGTGATAGAGTAAATCTAGGGCACCATCCATTAAAGAAAATGCTAACTCTAATCTATATTTTCCATTCATTCTAAAAACAAGAGCTCTAATGTAAGTGTCGGGATATACAAACAACTACAACAGCAACTTTGATTTGAAGCAACTATTCTGTTCAGAATACCCTAAATGACTTAACCAGCAATCTCAAAAACGAAAACAGTAAGCTACAGAGAACACAAGACTCCAGCATTCCCAACCTACCTTGAATGAGATTGTATCCCATATAGCCAATATTTTATCTGCACCAATTGTAATAAGCTGTGGAGCATTGAGCACCACTAGACACTCTTGATAATTCTACAAAAACTCCACCATCGTGTGCCTTAGCACAAAACAAATAACAAGTTCAGTAATTACACATGTATATACGAGATGAAACTTTTTAATTGTAGATGACAAATAGAAGATAAAAAAGATCCGATAATTAAATTGCCATTTACAAACAGATCAGCAGAAAGAGAACAGAAAACTACCTTCAGGCTAAGGTTGGGTACAAGCTCTCCTGAATCATGACCAAGCTCAGCACTCCAAAGTATTAGTAAACCATCACTTCCACCAGAGACCAGCAATGCCTACAATCATGTAAAATAGTGGTGGAATCACGCAACAATATTGGCAAGGTAGATCCTAACAGCACAAAGTCAGCCTAGTAAGACAGATTATCCATAGCAAATCAAAGGACTCCATTTTCATCATGGGAATGATAACTAAACTTTGGGTAAATTTGTTTTTTTAAAAAAAAAAAGAAACAGACAAACAAACATGGTATTGATTTTACACAGTGTGATCAGATAGCATTGTAGGCATTTTACCTCAGGAAGCATCCGGTATCAAGCAGTCGCAAATGGGGACCACTTTGCATGCTCTTTACCAACACCTTTAACACCATGTGCTACAAGTTCAATTTCCTGGACAAATGACAAAATTGACATTTGATAAAATTAAACATCAAGACTTCACAAAGGAGTTTGTGAACAAGCATCAACAATTAATAAAGGAAAAATAGAAGCCCACAAGGGGACAAAAATCACTCAATCGACAAAAGTTTAGTAACAAGCTATTACACTCAATGGATTAAGTTACCAACAGATACAGAAACCTGTCCTGGCCCAATCCTAGCTAAAGTGATATCAGGATACTTAGGATGAATTGGATTTTCTGATAATTCAGGTAGCCCATCCTGGCTTGACTTGAAATTAGTATAAGTTTTGGGTGCCGTAGTTGAACTTGATGCTTTAGTTTAACTTGAACTCGGGTTGCCTCCTGAGAAGCGCTTCTTTATGAGGTCCCTATCTTGACCATGAGAAATTATCATCAAGGGGGTGGCCTATAATTAAAATCCTATCAACAAAATTCAAGACTCGGGAATCCAGAGTATATAGTATCTCCAATACTCTACTTACATAGTTACATCAAAGTTATACGGTCTTGATCCAAAGTCTAAGAACTCGGGAAATGCCAATAAACTACACTACCTATGTATGACCCCTCTATTACAGTCCCAAGTAAAAGCACCGATTCAACTCACAATAAGTGTTTAATATCCGGGTATTCTACCATCATAACTCAATTGTACCTATGAAACTGCGTATAACTCATCAAGAGAATTATAGAATATGTACAAGGAACAACTACTAGATCTCAGATTCAACAAATCAGTTGTCTCTAATAAACTTAAGAAACTTGTGATACTATATACTCACCACCGAAACAACCCAGCAACCACGAAACCACCACCATACCCATGAAACCACCACCGCAGCCACGAAACTACCACCTCACCCACGATACCACCACCACACCCAAGAACCCACCACCACTAGCACCGACCACCATCACCATAATCACAAAAAAATAAATAAAAATCAGAAATCCTATCATCTCACATTCTCACCATTAAATTCAATCAAAATTTCAATTAAAAATAATGCATAATGCCTCACTCTTACGGGAATGTCCCTTAATACTTGAAGTTGATATTCACCAATCACCACTATTTCCCTTTGCAATATTATCCATTGCCACATTCCTCTCACATGATAGCTACAAGCTAATTTGACCAGCTAATTAAATTAATTTCAAAGCACCATTTTCATTAAACAAAACCAATAATACAAAGTATCTGTACTAGTAATATTACCACCTAATACGTTTCGAATTTGATATCAGACTCTAAAAATTAAGCTAGTTGTTGATAGTTAGTGGAGCAAGTATTACTAAGATAACATATTTCCATCTAAACCATACTAAAGTAACCATACTAGTAACACTACAACCATCTAACCTCATCGGCATAATCTCTCAATGCAGCCACAAATCTGTAGTATATTTAATTTCTCTAAAGCATTAGTAACTCTAACTATGTTTTTGTATTGTTCATCTTCCAAAACAAATTAATAATTACAAAGGATACATTGAATTATACCTTATTTAACTTATCAATGAATCAGCTCGCTGCGGCACCCACCCTTAGATAGCCTCCCCTGCAACGGCGGCAAGCCAAGTAGGCCACCCAGCAGCAACCTGCTTTCCTTCTATAGACAACGATTTCGGAATCAGCCCACCCAACCGGAGTTAGAAAGTTTCTCCTCTTTCTTTTTCTGACGGTCTTTTGCAACTTTTTCATTCTCCGATTTGTTGAAGCGCTGAGAAATTCCCTTTGATCTCACTGAAAATCAAGCCCAAATTTTACAAATTAGGAAATATTTTCTGAAATTAACCACAAATTTTGTCGAGCCCTAGAATACCAGTTAAGCTAGAGGAGAGAAAAAATGAGAATTGCAGAAGTAAAAGCTAAAAAAAAAAACCCTAGAATACTAATCTAGAGGACATAGAAAAGGAAATGCAAGAGTATTTGTCGCCAGCAGTGGTGGTGCTTATGCTGCGGCAGTGCGTCTACACCTCCATCTTTGAGGAGAGAGAGAGTGAGGAAGAAGAACGTATTTGGTAACTGAATAGCTAATGTGAAAATAGTAGTAGCAGAAATTCTTCCGCCCTTTTTCTTTTTATTTTTCCGCCCTATTTTTTTTTTTTTTTTAATTTTTCCTCCCTTTTAGAGCTTATATTCAAATTGTTATATGGATCAGGTCATCGGGACTTGTCAATTCAAAATATTTGGTTAGGTTTAAGTTGAATTTTGGATCATTTGATTCAAATGGTTTTGATTATTTGGGTTAGTACAAAATATGATAAGTGGGTCAAATTGGGTTAATTTTGGGTCGTTTAGGTCGGGCTGAGTCGGGTCTGGGTTCGTTCTCAATAACTCGAGTTTGGAATCGGATCGGGTTGAGAATCGATTCGGGTTGGGAATCGGGTAATTATTCAATTATAATTTTAACAATCCATTTTCATTTATTTTCATCTAATATTTTTTATTTATTTTTGTAATTGTCATTAGTTTAATATTTAATAAGATAAAATCATAAAAATCATAACATAATTTTTTTATTTAATTTAAAATCATAAATTATTTAATAATTAGATAACCCAAAAGTAATTAAATTAATCAACACATTAGGTGATTGTTGTCTTTAATCCTCTATAGCAACACTTTTATAGTTGTTGCATAGGAATCTAGCATTGTTATTTTGGTTCAAAGTAACATTTTAAAATCGTTGCCTTAGGTTATCAAGGGTAAGAATTTTATTAGTGTTGCAATTTTAGGTGTTGCCTATTCTCATTATTTTTGTAGTGTGTCCTTCGAACAAGGGTATTATTCCGATAAAAGGTTTGGAATTATTAGAAAGCTAATTATTCAGTGAGGTCAAGTGATCGGAATGCCTAGCTGGAAGCCGCTTCTGATTAGTAATATTAATGAATAATTGATATTATAGCTTAATCTTGACTGAACCCTTCGGGTCACACCCAATCGAGTAACCAAACCGAAATGACGAATTAATCCAAAGGATTAATTCAGTCATTAGAGTATCACGAACAATGACGTCGGATTCCGAGCTTAGAGCGTCGACATCAAGCGTCGTAAGTCAAGCGAATTTAGGAATCGACGAGACGAACAATCAAGGAAACAACAAGTTACAAATATAGCCCTAGCCTAGGAATGCCCCGAGAAATCCGAGGGCTAAGGGTAATATAGCTAGCCAAGGTAGCCGCACCATGCCGAGCTTGCTTGCAGTGCATGCATGCTAGCAACGCAAGCTAGCAGCGCTAGCTAGCTGGCTGGTGCGGCATGGCCAGCATTGCTAGTGCCTCGCGTCCAGCAACTCGCAAGCAAGCACAACTTGTTGGGCTGTGATGGCGCATCATAACACCCAGCAGCAGCATGCATCCGTGCGTGGCTTGGAAGCTGGGCTGCGCGCAAGCACTGTGCCTCACTGGTAGGCCCAGCCGAGCACTAGGTCGCCAGCATGGCGCGCCTTGGTGCCCAAGGTTGGGAGCCATGTGGCGTGCTGCGATAAGGCACGTGTGGGAGCTGGTTTGTGTGGTTTGCCTTGGGGATCAAGGAGACCATGTGGTCCTCCTTTGGGTTCTCACCTACCCTCTTGCTCACCATGTGCCACTTGTTGTTTGGTGATTGCTTTTGCTTTTTAATTTAATTTAGAATTAAAGTAATTCATGCTTTTCTCACTCTATTATTTCTCCCACATGGAAAGATGATAGAAGTTTTTGGGAGCCTTTGCCTATAAATACCAACTTTAGGAGTTGGGATTATTCACTTGAGTTGAACTCAATAAGGCATCTCCCAATAGGTGAGAAAACCTTTAAGTTCGTAATACTCTAGTTTTTCTTGGTCTAGCCCCGACTAAGCTTCGGGGTAGGGGTCGTTTGGATCGGGTCTCGAGGGTGTGAGATGTTGGAGGCTTGCGCATTTGCGGGGCTCTATGTTTTCAAGTTCGAGCTCTAAGAAAGAGCGAAGCACGCATCAAGGGTATGATCGTCTTTTCTTCTTTCTCTCTCTTGGTTTATTAATTATGTGACTGTTGTTAGTTACTTTAATTTGTGTGCGGATTTTGGGAAGGTTTTTTTTCCGCGTGATGTCGGACATCACGAAACCCAACAGCGGTATCGGAGCCGTGCTCATTTAATTATTGTAACTAATAATTAATTAAGGTGATTTAAATGGATTTAAATTTCTGGTTTTGCTTTCTAATTAGATTAGAAGCTCGCTTTAATTAGTTTTAATCTCGTATTTACGCTAATTTTGGCTCAAGAACCCAGATTTTAACCCAATATTAGTGAATTTTGGGTGGAATCAACGTTCTAAATCATTTAATACCCACATAGTGGGTATTAATGACCTTCCAGAAGCCAAAATTAACCCAGAAAGTGGTTTTTTGAGGGGTTTTTTTGTTTTTGACGAAATTTTTTAAATCTTTAAACCATGATTAATTATGGCATGTTAATGGTAGATTATTTGTTTGGTTACATCATTAATCTACTGCAATTATAAGCCCTTTTAAGCATGATTATAAAGTTATAATAGGTGCTTAATATGGTTGGCTCATTTTCACATAAACTTGGAATTTCACATTCTTGCAAATTAATTGCTTCAAGTGTGAATATTTATGGTGAATTTGTAATTTTGAAGCACCTAAAATGCTAAAGATCTAATCTTCAATTGTTAATTTGGTTGGATCTTAACCTTTTAGATTCCATGTTGAACTAATTTTGATTTAATCATTTTTCAAGTTGATTAAAGTCTTAAAGGTTCAAACTTGTGATTAAAATTTGATTACTCTTCATATTGGAAGATGTAATTTTTCAAGTTAACACAAGTTAGTGTTGGAAAATTTTCATTGGATGATTGTGTTTATTTTTCCAATTTCTTTTAATTTTGTCAAAGCTCATTATTAATTTATGTTTGGTTAAATTAATTATGAGATTAGCCCTTTAATTTTTGTAGCATCAAGTTGAGCCAAAAATAATTTAAAGAATGGTTCTTGAATTAATTTTGGTTTGTGCACTAAAAATTGAATTTATTTAAGTTGGACTTGTTTTATTTTCATATTGCTCAAATGCTGGTTCTAAAAATAATTTAGAATTAATTTTAAAATCACATAAAAAATTGGGATAAAATCCCGAACTCGTGTGTGAGAGCATAGTGCATTGCTTGGTGCGACATAATAAGTTGCTTGTTGCAACAAGTGCGGAGCGTGGGCTACGATGTGTGGCAATGGCCAACACAATCGCGTAACTAAGGCCTTTGAGGTCGTGACTTGTGTGCGCGCAAGTGCGCTGATGTGGGCGGTGTAACGCGCAAGAAACATCGTGTCCCACTCCCACGTGCTTGGGCACCAAGTTGTTGTGCGGGTAGTGGCCACGCAAGACACACCAAGCCTTGGTGCTAGGCACTTGAACATCGTTAGGCTGTGCAATTTTGCATTTTTTGCCGTTTTAATTATTTATTTATTTGTTTGTTTAATTATTTTAATTAAAATGAGGCTAGGCCTCAGTTTATCTCGGCACTTGCAAATTTATTTGGCAAAATTTGGGTTTACCGCCTTAATTAATTGGATTAATTAAGTTGGATGCGGATTTATTAGGAGCTTCATTATTTATTTGAGCTATTATTAGTTGCATTTAATCACATAATGGTTAACAACTTTGACTAGTTTTAATTAGGCACGTTAATTGGATTAACCACCTAAGTTAGTTACTAGTTTGCGCAAGTTTTGCATTGTTACTTGTTTCACTTTGTAAAATGCATGGGCCATTCACAATTAGTGAATGGATGAATGAAATGAATATTCTATCACAGGTTTTATGAAAATGACAACTAGTGGGGCCCGATTAGGATACTAAATACGGACTGTGAGCCGTTGTGTATTTTTGTAAATCTAAATACGGTCTGCGAACCGTTGTGTATTTTTGTACCTTAATATTTAGATTAGTCCTAGTCATACTTACTAGTAGTTGCATAATTGATGGTGATGTCTTGAAGACGGCGTTTCTAAGAAGACGAAGCCATAAAGTTGCAATGGAGACCCTTGAAGACTTGAAGACTCAAGGGGTCATGCTAGTTGCCAAATGCATCTTATACTTATGTTTTCGGTATATAATTATGCTTATATATGAATGATATGCTAGATGCATGTTTAGGATTTCGAATGTTGTAATGATTAATTTAGTTAACTTAAATCAACCAACATAGAAACCCTAGGTCCCTATAAAAATTGAGTAAAATTTGCCATTCCAAAATAACACTTACCGAACTAATGTGCATAGTGATGGGCTATGCCAAAGCAAGGCATCACTATTTCCCTAGGAACGTAAGGTATACTAGGTATACATGTTGATTTTGGTTAAACTCAACGATATCAATAAGGAGTCCCTAGATGTCGTGGCAATGGAGATAAACGTCATGAAAGCATTATAGATGCGAAGCTTTATCTAACGAAGAATAGCTTAGAGCTATTAGCAATTAGATTGCTTACCTTAAAATATTAAGTGGTAAGACAAGCCAAATCACGCTTAATCACTTTCTGATTTTTGGGATCTTGGAATCGTTTTATTCTCGCCTAAAAGGGACAATTTTAATGTGTGGATAAGACGCTTAATAAGATTGAAAGTTTGCATGTATGCTTTTAAATTTCAAACTTATTATGTTATTATCTTGATAAATGGTTATACTTTGCACTTATATTTGTAGAATTCTAAATCAAATTGTATTGTTTTCAATGATTGGTAAAAGGAAATATTTTTTAGAATGGTTCTCAAAGAAAGGAAAAGCATTTCTAAAATACAACTTCTCATAAATGACTTTTATAACTAAGTCCGAAAGGACGGTTGGACATCATGTATTCAAAATACTAGGTAGTTTTGATAAACATGAAATATTGAGTTGAAGACTCAAATTGTCAATAGTTGACAACCAACATATCTCTTTGCTTCATACACTAATTAGTACAACTCATTGATGTAGTAATTCAAGTACGAATTAAAGGAAAAGATAGAATATTGTTTTACGACGCATTAGATGCTTAATTATGCCTAATAAAGTATAAAAGTCAAAACACTTAAAGAAATGGTTCTTAAAGGTTATGAGATGATGTATAATAAGAAAGATAGGAACGAAAGAACAAAGAAAAGGAATGAGATTCCAATTCTACCAAAGAGTTCATGTTATCGTAGTTAAACTTAGCAACTCATTATCTTCACAAAGTATCGGATACTGCTTGAGGGTTCCACTTTGAAAGTGACCTCAAACCATTGAAGTTAAGCTAAGTTATTGACTTAAAAGCTTAGAGTGAAGCAAGTAGTGCTACATCAGTTGTAAGGTCATTTGTTTTGTTTAAAGACCTTTTAAGCTAAGGCTGGAACGAATAATGGTTATTATGCTCCATAATCAGCAAACAATCCGTTTACACACGGAAAGACTCACATTCAAAGTAAAAGAGCAATAGTTGCGGGTTTTATTTTGAATGGCATG